ATGGTAATAAATTTCAGTCTGTTGTCGCTCCGAATGGATTAATCGCAAACCTTGGCTCTTCGAATGATATTTGTAGCTAAAAATATTTGAATTGAGCATCTCTTTTACTAAATCATTGTCTATTTCTTCATCCCATCTAAATAGGAAAAAAAAATTTAATTCACTGAAAATTATTATAAATGGCATTTGTTGATACAGTTTACTCAAGAATAAAGTTCCATATTAATCAACATGACATTACATACATTTGATTTGGGGGGCTTAGAATTTGAGGTCATCATAATTAAGATGTTTTTAATGGTGCAAAGTAACAAAAACTTTAATGGGTTTGAGTTAAATATTGGCAGTGGTATTGAAGGAATATATACGGTAATATCTGTTCATTTACATTGACATATCGCTAATACCTTTTGATCTTTTTTGTTGCTGATTCTTCATCTGCTGATGTGGTCAATGGTGCTACTGAAATTAATAAAATTATACATTGATTGAAATATTATTTTATATTATTATTGTTTACTATTATTTAATATTATTATTATTATTATTATTATTATTATTATTATTATTATTATTATTATTAACAGTGTTATTGTTGTTGTTGTTGTTGTTATTATTATTATTATCATTATTAATATTTGGTTACTTTTATTTATTATTGATTATTGATATTATGAATTTTTACTATTATTATTACTATTAGCTATTTGGGTTTATTACAAACAAGTAGTTTTCCCTGCCATGGTGACCGTACTCTAAGACAAGATCAATAAGGTTGGAAAACTTACCAGTACAAATCAGCTTATCTTGAAAACCTACAACAATGGGTACACCTCCTGGTGTTTGTTGTCCATCTGAAACAGATACAGTAAGCGTGTATAAAACTGGTAAAAAAGATAGACTCAAAATGTGTGTTGTAAAATTGCATGATGGTATTACAGTATTAACAAAAAAAAAGAAATCTCTACCCAAAACACACACCCTAAAAACGAACATACCTAGGCCTCAGGCCTCTAT